CTCCCACACCTTCCTGGGCCCCATTGGGTTGGACCAAGGCCATCTCACCCTGCAGGAGGATCCTGGTTTCTGACTCTGTGTCAGGGACTTGGTCACTGAGGTCTGCAGCCTCGACCTCCACTCGCTGCACACCGTCTGTCGGTGGAATGGGAGACACCCTTGGCACCAGCCTCCTTTCACCAGACCCTGCACACCACCCAGGCCTCACCCCCACTCCTGCGCTGACTCACTCTGGCCCATGTGTTGTGGATCCAGTGTGTGAACGGCCACAGTTTTATTCACTCTGATTCCTTCAGGCTGGACAGTGTTGAGGGAAGGGGGAGGTGAGTGAATACAAGGAAAACAGAGCCTCAGCTGGTCAGCAGGGCACTGTTCTGGGGATTACTGTAGCCTAGATGGCATCTGCCAGTCTTAGCTGTGTGACTGGGAGCCAGTTACTCAACCTGTCTGTGTCTCAGCTTCCTTCCTTATAGGGAAGAGGCAATACAAACATCTACCTCATACTATTGTATGATAAAATAACATCATTATTTATTTAATAACAATAATACAACAAAGCCTTTTGAAATCTATGTGCCTAGAAGCTTTCTTTATTCAGGCTAACTCATTTAGGGTACCGCTATCATCATTCCCATTTTAAAGATGGGGAAACGGGTCGGGGCCGGTGTGGCTCAGTTGGTTGGGCTTGTCCCATACACAGAAAGGCTGGTTTGATGATTCCAGGTCAGGGCACATGCCCAGGTTCCAGGCTTGATCCCAGGTAGAGGGCATGCAGGAAGCATCCGATGTGTATATCACTCTCACATTGATGTTTCTCCCTCTCCTCCTCTCCTTTGCTCTCTCTCAAAGTCAATAAAAAAGTCTTAAAACAAAACAAAACACAAACTTATAAAGATGGGGAAACTGGAGAACAGAGAGCTGAAGTAACTTGCTCAGAGTCACACAGCTTGTAGAACAGAACTGGAGTATGAGCCTCATAACTGTTATCAAAGTATTTTATTTTCAAATTAGATGAATAAATAAATAAAATATTAGTGATTTGCTTATGAACTTGTTTTACTCTAAAATATTTAAAAAATGACAAAAGGAGATTCCTCAA